ACCCTTGACTTTTGCACGGACTTCTGCCATTTCCTGGCTCCACCCAGCCTAAAACGGCTAAAATATCACAGTGGGGTGTCTCTAGTCATCACCTGGCCTTCTTAGTAATTCTAGTCTCCAGTCAGAACCGTTGGGGTGGGGGGACCTATAGAGAACCTATTTATAAAACCTGTGAAAAAATCATTTGTGTATACACGACTAAGGAGTTGGAAGGCAAAGAATTGTAACCAGCAGGTGATTTAATGTTAAGCACTTTCATCTTTGTCAAGTTATTTAAATGTTCAATTATGTTGTTTAGGTGGACATGAATGTTTGCCCAGGACATTTGTAATTGTGGCAATGTGACTGGATGAAGAGGGCTGGTCGTTGGGCAGGGGCAGAAGCAGGAGTCCAAGTTGGGAAAATTCTAGAAACTGCTGCTGGCTCACCCTTCATTGAATCAGGAGATTGGAGAGGTCAGGAAAGCCCTGAGCCTCAGGCTGCCCTCACCGCTCGCTTGGTAGCCATTCTTAAGAGCTGGGGCTGGCCCCGACTCCAGACCTTTCGCCCCCTCTGTTGCTGGGCAAGTCATTCACATTCTATTTTTATGTTTCTGCTTATTATGGCCCTGGCCACATAGCTCAGTTGGTTAGAGTGTCATCCCAGTATGCTGAGGTTGCCAGTTCCATCCCCAGTCAGAGCATACACAAGAATCAACCAATGAATGCGTAAATAAGTAGAACAACAAACTGATGTTTCTCTCTCTCTCTCCGAAATCAATAAAAGATTAAAGAATACAAAATAAAAATAAATACTCGCTATTAAAGAATTCCAAGTACTAAAAAATTATTTAAAAGAAGATAAAAGTCACATGAAGATAAACATTACTCATTTCTTCAGAAATATCTTTCTGGAGCACTGCTTTGCATTAACGTCCACCCACTCCCCTACACCACACTTTTTTTTAACTTCCTATTTTTCTGGAAGGGAGACTTCGACCTCTTTTTTTCTATCTGGACCTCCTCCGCCAATAACCAAAGTGAACAACTTGGTGTTCACCCTCCCAAACTGCCCTTCATGTGATATAAAAGCACAAGCAGATGCCTATGCAGGGCTTTCTTTCCTCATTCCTCACTGTTGCTAAACCTGGAGTGATTGCGTGGTCCTGTCTGCATCCCGCTTTTCTCCTTGAAGGCATGTTGTAGAAAACTCTCTCAGCTTCTCTGGTGAAAATCTAGCACATTGTTTTAAATAGTTGTATTATATTTTTTAGACTTTTGGAGTGCCAATTTATTCAACAACTCTCTAATTAGTGAGCGATTAAAACTTTTTTTCCTTTTTGGTGCTACAACCTTCACTGCAATTAACATTTTGATATCTCATACGTTCCTATGTAATGACGCTTTATTACTGTGAGATTCCTGTAAAGTGGGATTATAAATCAAAAGGCAGGTACAATTCTTCATTTTAATAGAACTTGAAAGATTGTTTTCTAAAAGGTCGGCAATATTTCATATTTTATTTGTTCAGGAAATATTTATTAAGCTCTGACACCATGCCAAGCACTGTTTTAGCAACTAGAATTCAACAACGAACAAAACAAACATCCCGGACCTCATGGGGGTTTCATCCTGGAAATGGAGTGGAGGGGGGCCGACAATATGATGAAAACTTTAATAAATACTTTTGTCCCAGAAATGTCGGAAGACACATCTTCCTTTTCTTTGCTGGCAACAATTGGCATTACCACTCTTTTCATTTTTCTCCAATTTATAGATGTACTGTGATATTTTATGATCTTAATTTGCATTTTCTAATCTGTAAGGAATTCTATCATTTTTTACATGTTCATTTAGCTATTTGGGCTTGTGTTGGATGAACTGCCGATTTACAATCACGCACCTTTCTGCTGGCGGATTGCACACCAGACCCACACTTCTTGTCAGTGTCCACGGGCTCCGTGGGTATTACAAGTAGATGTTTATCTGCTGTCTATTTGGCCAATCTTCCCCCCATCTATTGCTTACCTACTGACTTCATGACGGTTTCTTTCATCATGTAATACGTTTAATATTTACCAATCTGTCTTTTTGTTATGACTGTGTTTTTTTGTTCTCTCTTCTGCCTATTCTATCTTTGTCCATTCTTATCTCCAAACTCTGGGTCATGTGAATTGTTTTCTAAATTTTCTTCCAATTAATTTTTTTTATGTTTGTAATTATTTTTCAATATATTACAAACATCTGAAATTTATCTTTTAACATGGTATAAATTAGGGGTCCAATTGTATAACCATTATCCTAATAGTATTTATTAAAACAAAGCCTCAATTCTCTACTGCATTAAAAGGCCACATTTTACAGTTCCCATATGTACTGGAATCTGTTTGCCTGCTTATTTATTGTTCTGCTCCGCTGGTTATCTGTCTATTCATATTCCAGTCTCATGCTGTTTTGATGACAGTCTTCTTTTTCATAATTTAAAAGTTATTCAGTCATAGAAATCTTCAGATCATTTTATCCAATTAAAAATTGTAATTTGTATTAAAAGTACACATTTAATTTATATTAGGAATAAGAAAGATGTCATAATCAAGAAACGAAAGAGAATGAAATAATTATAAGACAATACTGTGTAGAAGTTTATGGAAACAAACTGGAAATGTGGAGGAAAGCAAAGATCTTCTGTAGGTCACATAAGTCATCAAAATGGTACAAGGAGGGAAAAAAGTGGGAACAGACAATACTGGGATTTATCTGAACAGACACACTTCTGTGGAAGAAATTAGAAATGGATTTAATGGCCTACTGTTCATAGGGCCATTTACAGGGCACAGATGACTTACCGGCCAAGTTCTATCTAGCCTTTAAAAGGCAGATAGTTCCAATGTTGTGAAACTATTCAACACCAAAGAAAAAAAGACAGAGGTCTCCCTGTTATATGTTATGAAGCCAGCATCATCATAATGCTAACACACCTCATAGACAAATCCCACTTGGGAATGTAGAGTCTAATTTGAAATAAAATAGTTGCAAAAAAGGTCCATCCATGAATCAAAAAGACTAATGTACAATAACCAGCTTTTATTCCAAAATGCAAGAATGTTTTGATACCAGAAAATTTATCAATGTAATTTATTACATCAACAAATGAAAAAAAAACTGCCATATAAATGGATACCAAATAGGCACCTGGTAAAACCTAGTAGTAATTTCCAATGAAAACCCATGATCCCTTATTTAAAATTCTGATACCCAAGAAAGACAAATATCATATGATCTCACTCATATGTGGAATCTAATGAACAAACTGAACCAACAAGGAAAATAGGGACAGGCTCATAGATGGAGAGCAAGCTGACAGCTAGTGGAAGGGTTAGGGGTGCAGAGATTGAGTAAAATAGAAAAAGGGCTCATGGACATGCACAAAGTGTGGTGATTGTTAGGGAGTGGAGGGTGTAAGGGGACTAAAAGGTAAGGTAAAAAATAAACAAAAAAGATTTTAAAAAAACAAAAGAAAAAAATCTGACACCCAAAAATCTCTGAACACTAAAATGTTTACCTGTAATTTTGGCATTATATTTCATCTGATGTCAAAGTTGATCTGAACTGACATAAAAAAAAACTACCTAAATACAGAAAGTATTATTTTTAAGTAAATGTATAGTATTACACATTCTGTATGCAAAGCATACTCAAAAAATACTTAATGGATTCTTTGTTACTGTGGCTCTGTCCTATATTCAAAAGTATTATAGTCTTTCCTGTTTTCAAGTTGAGTTTGAGGAGAAATAATATGAGGCATGTGCCTTCAATTCTCTGGAAAAAGAGAAACATTACTGTGTTTCATTGAATCTAAGACACCATTCCTTGGAAGGTGAGCGTTTATTTTATATATCACTAAAAGAAGAAAAAATGCTGCTCATTACAATATGAACCATCATCGACTGTAAAACATATTCCGGTTTCAGAGAGACCGAAATATGAAACAGGTGCATCTCAGAGTCGATGAAACACAGTGCAGACGTCCAAAGGCCATCAGGAATCCACCACTGGCCACATGGCCTGTCCAATGAGAGCAGGAACTCCGTCTCCTCTGTAAATGTCGGCGTCTTGGGGAGGGGCCGGGTGTGAGGTGCAGTCCGGTGGTCTGGATCAGCCAGGGCTCCAAAGCTGGCTCTGTATTGGTTAGTTGTTTGATTGTGAACCAGCTACTTAATGCCTCAAACCACAGGGCTGCGAGAGCAGGAATATCGATTCACAGTTATTTCAGAGAGTTGAAAGGGTGATACAAAAGAGGGCTTGTGACATTCCTGGTGGAGGATGAGCCCCACCTACATGGCAGCCCCTGGAAGGAGGGTGGTGGTGATCGTGGCCATAAATCTAGGGTCTTCCCACATCTGTCATCCGTGATTTTACCCATGAAAAATCTTGACCATATTTCTCTCACCTCTAAAGAAGATTCCCCAGTATTATTCGAAAAGCTGCAATGGGCCTTAGGTCCCTGGGCTACCGATGCACCCTAAATTGATAACGTCCAATCTGAGTCTCTGAGTTAGACAGAACCTCAGACATGCCCTAACAGGAGTCAAGAGAGAAAATGTGACTTTCCCGAGTGATGTGGTCAGGGCAAATGACAACTAAAACCTAGACCACTAGACACACCGGTCAGACTCTCTGTAGGTGCCAAGGCTCCTGTCCCCAGGGGGCTGGAGTTCACTCCAGCAGTTTCTGGCAGTTTCCCCAGACCAGCCGATCTCCGAGTCCTAAGCCAGTCATTTCTCTCCAGGCCACTTCTTCCTGCTCTGGGGAAGAGCAGTGGCCCGTTTTTCTGGGGAAAAACGATGGATGCAAACTTAACCCACCCACCCCCTTCTGACTTCCTGTCTGACTTTGACCTTCACTGTCCTCCACTTCCACCCCAATGTTCTAATTGGCCACTCAGAAGGAATTTGGGGGAGCTCTTCCGTACGGGGGCCCTGAAGACCTGACATCGCCAATCTGCTGTGTGCTCTCTGACAGGATGGGAGTGGTGAGCAGCAAAAAGCAGGTCAAGGAGAAGGGTAAGGGCCCGTGGAGCCCTGTGAAGGACAGCACCCAGAGCAGAGAGGCCCCTCCACTGCCGCCCCTGGTGAGTGATCGCTGTTCCCAGCTGGAGAGGGAGGAGGGAGAGTACGAAGCATGTGGGGCTCCCTGGGCCATGCTGCCTGTCTCCAGCCAGCCCCAGAACCATTATCTTGACAACCCAGAGCTTCCACAGATAGGGTCTCTCCAGTGTCACCCCAGCTCACATGGGTGTGGCAGTACCATAGACTCTTTAACATCCAGAATGCTGAAGTGTTAATCTGTTAGCTGTATCTTCAAAGCAGGTTTCTTAACTCCCCTTAGCCTCAGTTTTCCCACCTGTAAAATGGGTAAAATGAAAGTGCTCTTTCTGATAGGGAGGTAACCGTATGCCATGTAGATACAAGTGTGCAAGGCTATAATGTATTGCCTTTTGCACAGGACTGGCCATGGTAAGCTCCCAATGAGTCTTAGTCAGTTTTCAGCCGGCAAGGGCAGCCTTGAAGAGAAAGAGAAATCAAAGAGATCGGCTTGAGGAAAGGGTGTGCTGGAGAAGATTCTAGGGCATTCAGCAACATTTGCAGCCCCCAACCCTATCCAGAAGCTTCTGGATCATTGTCCCCTTCCTGGTGCATCAGCATTCCAAAGAGCTTACTCCTCTGGGGCGAGGCATCCCAAGAGGGGAGGGTGCCTATGCTCACCTCCCCCGCCGGCCCTCCTGTGTTCACGGGGCCTACCTCACAGTTCTGGTTTGTTTAGGAAGCAGTTAGCACCCTTTGATGCTACTGGTTCCCAACGAGGCATTTTTAGAGGATTGTTTGCGTCTCCCTTGCCTGGCCACCTACCTCCTTCTGGTTCGGGGCAATCGGAAGCCATGTCTCGACCCCTCTCTCCTGCCCTCTCTTCCCCAACAGCCCGCCCAGCTAGTCATCACTTCATTCCAGCTGTGACTTAAGAGGGTGGTGGCTGCTACTCCCATTTCTGAGATAAACCAGGCATCTTATCTGCGTCCCCACTGAGTGCAGGGTTTGGCACGGGGCAATAAAATGTTTGTTAAATAAGTGAATAATCAAAGGGCCGTGGGTTAATTATTGAGTCATCTGATTGACTAGATCAAACTTAAATTGAGTCATTTCTTCAAAGTTATGTGCTAATTAGTAGAGCCTGCATTGTTTTTAACTTTTAAAGAGTCACAAAATACATATTATTTATGGAGGAAAAATGGTAAGTACTCATTATCCTCCCGGTAAATGACACCAGAGTTAGTGTTGCCGAGCTCCTGCCTGCAGACATTTTTTCTGTGTGTTATTTACGTATTGAAATTTTCAGTGGAGCCATACTGTACATACCCTTTTGTGACATGCTACTCCAAAACTATCTAATAGGTATGGAATAGAGGAAGATTTCCTCTAACACGTATGTCGGGTTGGAAGAAGGAGGATGAAATGAACCCCTAGTGCAGCCCCTCCCACCTGCAGAAGTAGGAAGTGACCCGTCCCGCTGAAGGTCTCTCCTGTCCCCCAAGTCTGCCCCCTCAGGGCCCATTATTCTGAATGTGCTTATCATTCCTTGGCTTTGCTCTTTTTGTATTGTTCCATAGGCGTATATTCCTAAGCGCTATGTAGTTTAATTTTGCATATTGTGAACTTTAAATCAAATGCAGCGAAAGGCAGGCATTCTTCTGACTCTTGGGTTCTAGATCTACTTGGGTTTTTCACTGTGAGCTTCATCCGTGTGGACGCATGTAGCGATAGCTCATTAACTGCCACAGCTGTGTAGGACTTCATTGCCCTAATTTATCTCTTCTTTGGTCATTGGTAATAGAGGTGATTTCTGTGCTTGACTAATGTTTATGTAATTAGTATGTACTACTATGTATTTCTGCTGGGAGTGGTCTTGTGCTTGTTTTCTGCTATACATATGCAAAAGTTTCTCCACAGAGTATATACCTAGGGATACATAGGTTGAGTTTTAGGGAAATAGGTTTTTAAATAATTTTTCTTGAGAACAAAGGCCCTTTTGCAACTTCATCACTTAATGACAGAGCCAGGATTTTAAGCCAGGTGATCAGGCACTTCCCCCACCCCCAGCCCCCATTCCACAGCTGCCTCTTGCCGAGTTGGGGCATCCCTACCTGCATACCCCTCCTCTAAATGTGCATGTGGTCTGGGCAAAGATGGCAGGTGCTCCAGGGGCTGTTCAAGAGGCACTGGTACCTGGGGAATAGAAGTCACCTGTGCGTTTGTAGCGGGCACACAGTCTGCCTGTGCCAACTCACAGCAGGCCCTGCCCAGGCTGCAGGGCACTGAACTAATGCTGAGGCCATGTATTTTCGCTCCAGGTTGTGTTTAACCACCTGGCTCCTGTACCTCCCGACACACACCCAGATCAAGGTAAGAAGGGGCCTCTTTGGAAGCTGAGGCTCGGCAGGCCAACCCTCCAGGCCCAGACTGGGAGGGCTGGGGAGGCTGCGGGAGAAGCAGGTAGACCTGGGGCCAGCTCTGTCCCAGCTTCACCTGCCCTTGGGGGCCCCTCCAGCAGCCGGGCACCAATTCCTTTAGTGTACCTGAGCCTGGGTGGGTATTTCTTTAAAGACTTTACAAACTATAAATGAGCACAAAAAGACAAGAGTTACAGTGAATACGAACAGCATCATTAAGCCCAGGCTTTCAAAGATCTTGCTCCCAACTTCAAAGGGTGAGGACCTATGGTTCTACGTCCTCCCTCCCAGTCCTCAGTCTTGTTCCTCATGGTCATTGCTCCCTTTCTGAGGCCCTCTGCTGACCTTCTTACCACCCATGCCACCTTCCCTCGCCCCCAGGCTCCATTTGCACTTCAGTGGGCAGGACTGTGGAGGTGACAGAGCAACTGACCTTGGCCTTCCTGGGTCAGGGGCTCAGGCCTCAGGAGGGAGTGGCTCAGAGGGTGGTGGCCAAATTCTGAATTGGCATGCAGGAGAGCAGAACACCCTGCATCCTCGTAGCTCCCTTCCACACACCACCAGGAAGGCCAGACTCCATGAGCCAGGGCCTCCATCACTAATTCACCCACAGGGAGGCACTGACACCTCACCTGGTGTTGCTTATCCTGTTGGAGATTCCAATTAATTAGCATCAGGAGCCATTCTTCACTTCCTGACAGGGGGTTCATAGCTCCAGGAAGGAAGCCCAGAGGAAGGAAATAAACAAACTACTTTTGGCACAAGAATTTGAATCTCAAAACCAGAAGGGCCTCTGTCATCTGTTCCACCCCCCTCTTCCCACTGAGAAAAGGTGACTAGCTCAAGGTCACACCAAGCATTCATGACAAAGCTGAGTCATCCACTCCCAGGGAGCTAGGTGGTCTCCAGGTGACCTTTTCCAGGCAGGTCTCTGCTCCCCAGAGCAGTGCAGAAAGCCCTTATTGCCGGCAGTGGTCGCTTGAACAGTACCATGCCAAGCTGTAGAACCCTCTCTCCACCTCCACTCTAGGGACCCTTAGCGAGCAGGGGCACTGACAGCCGGAAGCGCCGTGATGGGGCCCTGGACATGGCCACAGGTCTCAGTTACACTGGCCATGTCCCAAGACCACTGCTCTGTTTAAGATAGAGTCTGAAAGGGACAGGTGAGGAAGGGGTAGAGAGAAGCTCATATGCCTCCAGGAGGCAAGGAATCAGCCAACTGCGGTTTCCAAATTTAGGTCTGCTGATCTCCCAGACCTCCGGCCATCAACTCCCTCACACAGCAGCCCCATCTAGGCCTTAGGGTTTCTATGTGGGGTCTAGAAGGGGAGATCCGATGGGCTCAGAGGGGCAGTATGTCCTTGTTCCCAGGGTCAAGGTCAGGAGGTCAGTCCACCAGATAGAAATTTCTTCTGCATCAGCGAGTGAGAAGGCTCACTCTGGCTTCCCTCTGTCCTTGCCTTTTCCTAACCCTCTTAATAGCCAGAAGATGGCTCATGGCACAGGCTTAGCTTGGCCTGTACCATCAGCCCAGTGGGCCCGAGTGGTGGCCATCTCTCCCTTGTTCCCTCTAGAAGAGCACTTTGTGGTGGCACTTTATGACTACGTGGCAGTGAATGACCGTGACCTGCAGATGCTGAAAGGGGAGAAGCTGCAGATCCTCAAAGAGTAAGTTCCAGAATGCCGCCTCGCGGTCAGGGGTCTCTGCAGCTCTGTGTCACAGCAGCAGGACCCCCGCCCGTCCACGCAGCTACCTCTCTCCTCCCCACCGTGCTCTCTCTGACTGCCTCCGCAATATTTGCTCCCTTGCCCAGCCCCGAGCCAGGTTACCCCGCATTTTCCGTATTGACCCAAGCATCTTCCTTCCACCTGCCTTCCCAAACTCTTTCTGGCGAGGTGGGTTCTTACTCTGCTCTCAAAATCCTACTCTTCTTGTTTGACTCTGGGTGGTGGGCACACAGTGCAACATCCAGCTCTTGTATCACAGAAATGTATCATTGGAACCTATATGATCCTATGAACCAATATCACCCCAGTAAATTTAATTTTAAAAATCTTACTCTTCCTTCAAAGCCCACCGCCAATGGCACCTCCTTCGTGCAGGTCCTCCTGACACCCACGGCACCCACTAGCCACCCTGTCACAGCTTTGTGCCGGAGTCAGTTGTGTCCATGTTTGTCCTTCTTGCCAGATGAGATCCCCATGGGATTCAGCTTATAAAATCCACTGTAGTTTACTCCCACTGTCGCTTCCCGGAAACTCCTCCAGAATCTGCTCTCAGATCCAGGGCACCTGGATTGTCCCGTAGAGTCCTGAGGGCCCGCTTTGTTCTCGAATTCTACAATGACCTTGAACTAAAAGCATGAAGACCCTGACCTTTTGACTATCTGTGGGCTTCCCCGTTCCTCCCCCCTTTCGTTTTTCTGGCTTTCCTGCCCAGTCCCCATTTGCTCACTACATTCTGAAGGTGTCCATCAGTCAGGAGGAAGGCTACTCACTATTGGCCAGGGGCCCCAGTGGGTTGATCAGGCTGTCTGGACAAAGCATCCCCGGGGGGCTGTGCCATCCCTTTCTCCCCCAGACCAGGAGTACCCGTGAGTTAGAAATAGCCCTGATAGCCCTTGAGTCACGGAGCAACTTGCTTTAGTTTGCTCTCATCTGCCAGACCGTCTGCCTCGGTGAACCCTCTGCCTGGCAGGGATGAGACCACAATGTGGAGGGCTGTGAGCTGCCCCGGAGAGAGGCCTGTGTGAGCCAGCACCTCATTTTTGTTTTTCCCTTCTGCCCTTAGATCTGGAGACTGGTGGTTGGCCAAGTCTCTCATCACGGGACGAGAAGGCTACGTGCCCAGCAACTTTGTGGCCCGAGTAGAGACCCTGGAAATAGAAAAGTAGGTGGACAGAGGGAAGGGCTGTTAAAGCAGAGGCACGCTCACTGCTTCTGCTCCGCGGGCTGCCGTGCAGGGCGGCCAGTCAGCGGCTAAAGATGTGAGCCCAGCGTGGAGGGGCAGGAAAGGGGCAGGGAGCTGGAGCTCCTGGGGAAGACTTGTCTGCTGTCCCGGACAACGTTTCAATCTCTGTGTGATACGAGGGAGTCACTCCTCTGTGAGCACCCCGCTCTTCCCATCTGTCAAATGGGAACTGTCCCTTGCCTGGCTTCTCTGAGCAGAAATGTCCCTGATATCCTGTAGCTGCACAAGCAAACAAAGAAGCGCTATGATCAGCCCTCACTCCTCCAGCGCCTCCAGTGGGCAGGACTCAGGGGCTCGGACATGGGGGGGCAGGGCTCCCAGGATGGCGGCCTCATTCAGAACTGGCTTATAGAGCAGCAGCCTTCTCATAACCCAGTTCCAAACAGCACCAGGAAGGTCTGCCACAGGCCTTGGCCATCTATTCGCTCCCACACAAGGCACTGAGCAAACAGGCTCCGAGGCCTGGGGAAGCTATAAAATGAGTAAGTTGTGGCTCCTCCCTGAAGGAACTCAGAGTCTGTCAAACTGAGTAGCAAAGTGCAGGAACCAGGTTCGTGGCCTCAGCTGGTGTCCCTCATGTAAAATGGTAGTAGCTCTTGGGAGGGGTCCTTGCCTGGCCCTTCCCTCATTGTGTCCTTCCCTGGAACAGCAAGCAGGACCAAGGGACACTTCCACACTGACCAGTCCAGGCTCAGGGGCACGTGGTGGAATGGTGCTCTGAGACTGTCCTTCAGAATCCTGACCCCAAGGAAGACATGCTCCGAGAGTCGGTGGGTGGGTGCCTTCTCCCACAGTGAAATCATCAAAGGCACCCAAATAACGTTCCTGTTTCATTTCAAGAAAACGGAGTCCAGAAGTGGGAAGAAAAGGGAGCACAGACACGAAGAGACATTTCATGGGTCAAAGGTTAACTTGGTTCAAGGTTAACTTGGGGCAGGAACACGTATTATATTTCTTGGGGACAGAGGGACAGCTTAGGAGGGAGGTTTGGATAAGAACACTCTGAGGAGCACGGGCGCTCTCTGAGGCCCGCCTGCGCTTGTGCTTTTCCAGGTGGTTCTTTAGGTCGATCAGCCGGAAAGACGCAGAGAGGAAGCTTCTGGCTCCAGTCAATAACGTGGGCTCCTTTCTTATTAGAGAGAGTGAAACCAGCAAAGGTAGGTGTGGGCAGCCGCCAGTGCAGTGGGGAGGGAGTGCCAGCGCCTATGTGGCAGAATATTTTATGTTATTTTTCAAAGATTTTATGTACTTATTTTTTTGAGAGAGGGGAAGTAAGGGAGAAAGAGAGGGAGAGAAGCATCAATATGTGGTTGCCTCTTACGCACCCCCAACTTGGTACCTGGCCCACAGCCCAGGCATGTGCCCGGACTTGGAATCGAACCAGTGACCCTTTGGTTTGCATACTGGCACTCAATTCACTGAGCTGCACCAGCTGGGGCTGTAGAATATTTTAATAAACACATGTAGAAACAGAGACACCAGTATAAGGGAACCCCTTGTACCCAAGGCCCAGCTTCAACAATGTTCGACTCAGCCCATCCCATTTCATGTACATCCTCGCCCACACTTACTATTTTGAAGCGAATCCCAAATATCATGTCATTTCGCCCTGGAAATGATGTTTTTATCATTGCCTATGGCTAAGGTGCCCTCTGGAGGGAAAGGAACGCCCAACCTCAATGCAGAGGAGGAAGGGGTTCTCTAAGGGTGGGGGTCCCTCCTCCTACGGTGCCCACCACGGGAAGCGAGGCCAAGATGGGCACTGGCCGGAGGGAGCTGGGGCTGCAGGGTGGCCAGGCAGCATCACCCCTGACACCTGCAGCCACACACACATCTATGCACATGCTCCTCAGAACTCCGAAGCAAGACCCTCTGTCTGCGTCTGGAGGCCACGTCTGGTGGCTGCGAGGCAGGGGAGGAACACAGAAGCAGAGCGAGTGCATTCCGGCCCCTATGGCCTCCAGGCTGTCTCTTAGCTTCTCAAGCCTCACTGTGTTGACATCCATGCGAGGCCCCCCAGTTTCCCAGTCCAAAAGCAGGTGGTCTTGCTTGTGCCAAGAAAGCTACCTCTGAGCCCCCAGAGACTGTACATGCCCAGCATAGTTGGGAGACAGGGCAGGGGGGTCCAGATTTTGTGAACCTGAAGCTAATAGGACTCGGAGGTCCCCTTTGAGAAAAATACCAAATTGTAAAGAAAGATATAGAGACAGGCCCTTGGATGAGCCTGGGCAAGTGAGGGCCGTGAATTATGAGTTTGGGCAGAGGCTCTGTTGGAAGAGAGTGGGTCTCCTTGCTTCCCACTGAGGAAATGGGGAGAAAAACCCTTTTCCTCACTCCAGTGGTGTGAGGATGAATGAGCTCACTAGAGCCACTCTTCAGGTCCTTCAATACTGGGGCAAAGTTGCACCGACCCGGCGCGAGGGAGGGGAGACAGTTTGCAGCATGCAGCTGGGGCTGGGGTGGCAGGCGTGGTGTGGGCTGCGGCCCTCGCACCGCACCCCGGTGGGGCGCACGGCGTCTCGGCATCCTTTTTTAAGTACGTGATGAGAAAGGACGTTAAAGGAGATGGGAGAGGAGAAGGGGTTTGAGATAGAGTGGTGGTCTGAGCGGAAAGGAGGGATGTCTATATAAACAGCACATCCGAAAATCAAGCGTCCACACCCAGAAAAAGAGGTGTCCGAGCCTGACACCTAGCGGGGGAGGGTGGTACTGCTCGCCGTAGGCGCGCCCTCTGGCAGGAGCCTTGGGTTCCCAAGCCTGCCAATTAAGGAGCAGGGTGACCTGGGGCAAATGACATCTGCTTTTTGGGCCTCAGCTTTCTGGTCTTCCAAATAAGAGTGAGGCCATGGAACCCAGAGAGCGGGACAGAGGCGTTTTATGAAAACATCAAGTTTATGGGAGGAAGTTTCTCCACTGAGAACTCATGCCTCCTTAACTTGCTCTTATGTCCCGGAGTCCGCTATCTCTCATCTGCAGGGAAACACGAACAGAGATGGCAAAGCACACAGACGTGTGAATGAACGGGAACAGAGGTCCTGGGAAATAGCTGGCTGTGCCTCCTCCCAGGACAGGGGTGCGTGTGGTTGGGCTTCGGTGCTGCATGTGGGAGTAGACAGCGTTTTTAAGCCAGAATGAGTGAGTGAATCAATCACTGAGCCTTTCGGTCCCTCCAACAGCTCTACATTTCTCAATATTCCATGGCAAAAGGTCCCTGGTAACCGGGTGCCCGGTGGGGGGAGGGGAGGGACGTCATGATTCCTAAGAGACTGTCCTTCCTTTTCCAAAGGCCCCAGGTTCCCTGGCGGAGTTTTGGGAGACTCTGGGAGGAACATCAGGAGCAGGGTCAGATGGAGTGCACAGGGAAGCTTCCAGGGGGTCGGGGTTGAGATGAAGGAAAAGACAGCTCATGGCCGTGGTCAAAATGGAGAGCAGACTGCAGCGAGCTTTTCTCCGCGGCATTGAAATGAAGCCCCAGTCCTAGCCTGCTTCTCCCCCTGTGTGCCTTAGCTCTCATGCAGGTGTCTTTATCAACCCTCCAGGTGCCTTCTCCCTGTCTGTGAAGGACTCGACCACCCAGGGGGAAGTGATCAAACACTACAAGATCCGCTCCCTGGATGAAGGAGGCTATTACATCTCCCCCCGCATCACCTTCCCCACCCTCCAGGCTCTGGTGCAGCACTACTCTAGTAAGAGGGGGCCTCTGGTGGGGTGGGGGCTTGTGCCGGAGCAGCCCTGGTATCTCTCTGTCGCTAAGATCTTAAGACTGAGAATCATTGGTGCTACCCTGGAGTTGGCAACTGTCGCCATAGTGATTCAGTCTGTGTACCTAATCTCTTCTACTGGATCAGCATTCAAGCACCTGGAGAGTAACAAGTACTTTCAGTGGTAGACAGAGCAGGTTACTGCTTTATGCCATGCTTTACGCAAAGCAGATGAAAAGATCTGAGTGGGTGTGTATGTGCCCATGTGTATACATGTACTTGGGGGGGCTAGCAAGAAGGGGTGGGGGCACAGCTGGGAAAGGGGCCAGTCCGGCTGTGCTGGTAACCTCCAGCCCCATCTCCTCTTTTCTAATGCAGAGAAAGGGGATGGTTTATGCCACAAGCTAACCCACCCCTGTGTGAGCCTGGCTCCCCAGAACTCCTGGGCCCAGGATGAATGGGAAATCCCCCGCCAGTCTCTCAAGCTGGTCAGGAAACTTGGGTCCGGGCAGTTTGGTGAAGTCTGGATGGGTGAGTATGTGCCATGCGCCCTGAAGCACAGAAGTCTCAGGATTTGCACAACGCATCCTGCTTCCCCCAGAAAGGCTTGTGGGGAGAAGGGACAGAAACTATGATACCCATTTCACAGATGAGATGATGGAGGGATAGAACATTGTCCCTCAACTTCCTGAGGGAGGCTGAGACAGGCTGGCAACTGGCAAGATAAGCTGGGACATCCATCACCCGCAGGAGCTGTGCATTCCAGCCCTGGGCCTCTTCCTGGGCGGGTAGCTCCGCCTCAGTCCCCCACCCCCAGCACAGGAATGGCTCCTGGAAGCTTATGTAGATAATGGGTAAGGGATCACCTCCAGAAGCCTCTGCTGAATGGCTTCTTCTTTCTCTCCCTGACTCCATCCCCTGTCCTGCCTCAGGTTATTACAAAAACAACATGAAGGTGGCCATCAAGACCTTGAAGGAGGGGACTATGTCTCCGGAGGCCTTCCTGGGCGAGGCCAACCTGATGAAAACTCTCCAGCATGAAAGGCTGGTTCGTCTCTATGCTGTAGTCACCAAGGAGCCCATCTACATCGTGACCGAGTACATGGCCAGAGGTGGTGCCCCATGGGGGCCTGTGTTCCTCAGACAGAGGCTGGGAGGGGCAGGGGAAAGGGACAGGCTTAGGGGCTGAGAAGGCAGAGGCCCATCTGCGGCTGTGGGTCTGCCTGGCCAGGGGGCCTGTGCAGGGCATCGCTGGGCCATGGGCTGGATGGAGTGGCCAACGTCCTGTGCACCTAGGGTGTCCCACATGCATGGGGTGGGAGGGGAGGAAGGTGAGAAGCAAGACGGGTCAGTGTTTTCACAGAGCTGTGTCCTCCGTTCTGGAGCACTTGGAGTATGTCTTCTGTGCCCGGCACTGTTTGATGCCTGCTGGGGAGGACAGAGCAAAACAAGCTGAAAGAGGAGTAGACTGGGCATCCAGAGATGGCTCAGTCCTAGGTCTACCACTTACCAGCCCACAGGACCTTTCACAACTGTATGAACGTTTTAGCACACCGTGAAAAGAGATTATGTGAGATGGCCTCTGAGGTCCACACCATGGCCAAGTTCTTGTGGGGCAGTGGGCCTGGGGTCCAGCCTTGGCCTTTGACATCCTTCTCCCCCATCCCATGATGCTGACCACACACTGCTTCCTGCAGGATTCGAAGGTTCCCTTGGAAGCCATGCTAATACAGTTCCTTAAATGTCACCATGAAGGGGGCCCCACACTGGGGCTGGGGACCCAATGGCTTCCCTGCTCAGCTCTTAGCCACACCTCAAGTGAGTGTCCCTCCCAGCTTTAGATGCCACAGAGGACCCTCATGTGTCCCCTGCACCAAATACAGGGGACAACTTTCTCCATTCTGGTGCTCAGAGGCACAATCTCTACCAACAGTGGGTGAAAAAGGCAAGAATGCTATGCCAGGGATGAGCACTAAACTTAGAGTCAGAGAGCAGGTTCTGCTCCGAGCAAACTGGCTTGTGACCCTGAATGTGGCTGAAACCTAACTTCCTGTGAGGTGCTGGGAGCATATCAGCTGCCTCCTGGGGTGCTGTGGGGATCAAGGCTGGAATTCTGTAAAGAAGAACTTTCTGCAGCTGTGGGTGGACTTCTCTGTGGACAAGGGATTGAGCAGAGCACCACCTGCCTCTGGCCCCAGGCAGGGAGCAGCCCACACCTGGAGGAGGTTGGCATCTCCAGGGAGGGGGCAAGGCCAGGACAGGGGCTTTTGAAGAAGTGTGGCTGCAACATCTCTTTCCTTAGGATGTTTGCTGGATTTCTTGAAGACGGATGAAGGTAGCCGATTGTCTCTTTCAAGACTGATTGACATGTCAGCCCAGGTTTGTGAGCTTCCATGCACAGTGGGGCCTGGGCACCAGTGGCCGAGGCCCCTATGTCTCTGCTCCCAGCCCTGTGGCTTAACAGAATCAAGTATTCAGAGGTTGTATTTATCTGATTCAGGCTGGGCTGTGAAAGACAGGAAACCCAAAGTAATAACAACTTAATGTGTAAACATCCAAAGGTGGGGAGTCTGGGGTGGTAGGTAGGTCTGCCCCTCAAAGCACAGGGACCCAGGTTTTTTTCACCTGCTGGGTGTCTTAGCATACCATGTGAGTGCCCAAGGGGGCTGCTCACACTACACCATCTTGTCCTCTTCTCAGTCAGCAGGAAGAAGTAAAAAGGTTGAAAGTCCACCCTCCTCCCTAGAGACATGTCCCTGAGGCCACCCACTACACTTGCTCTTACATCCTCCTGACCACAGCATCTCCTGGCCACACCTAGCTGCAAGGGAGCTTGGGAAATGTAGTCCTTATTTTGGGCAGCCATGATGAGATGAGGTGGGTTCTATCAATAGGGAAGAGAGGGAGGACAGATGGTGGTGTGGAAAACCCAGAGAGTTTGCATGAATTCCATCTAACGTGGTAGGCAAGGGTTTTGTGGTGACCTCATTTCTTCCTCAGATGGTGCTCACAAATGCCTTCTGTAAGAGGTGAGATAATGGAGAGGGGGATCTGTCCTCCCTAGAGATTTTAGCTGAGGCCTCTAGCTGACAGGAAACCCACCTGGTGGCTCCAAGTGTGTGGCTGTTAAAATTGGAACTCTCAGCAGAAAATCTGTGGTCAGCCTGTGAGACATAAACCCACGCACACATCCGGCTACAGAAAGGAAACCTCCCTTCACCCCACGGTGCCCCTCCCCACCTCACTGGCCTTATCTGCAATTAGCATCAGTGCAGGGACTGAGGTCGCCACACCCCTTTTGCACAGATGGCTTTGAGGAGGCTGGTGGGATGGTCTCGGAAAATTAGCACTGGTAACCGGTTTCAAACCACGTAAGAGTGATAAACCTGTGAACTCCGTTCTTTCTTTTCCTCCTTTCACTCTCCCAGTCTTGTATTCAGTCCAAGGGTAAATCTTGGGTCACCCAGGGGTCTGGAAAGACACCTCAGTTTATATGTAGGTGTGGTCAAGATGCTGAGGGCTAAGAAACCAAAAATCAGAACCTCCTAGATGGTCAGTTTCTAAACCATGCTCTGGTCATGTTAGCACCTCGCCATGTCTGCACACACTCACTCACACACACCCGCACTCACACTGCACATCCTTCTGGGTGCTCCTTTTCCTGCTCTACAGGACAAAATGCAAAGCTCCCCTCCAACCACAATGTGGGGTGTCCTGCTTTGCAGGCATGTGGCAGCTTCCTGATGACCTGTGAGCCTTTGCCTCTCTTCCCAGAATGCCTTGGACTCTCTTCCACCTGGAAGAGTCCTAGTCGATGTTCATGACCCAAGTCAAGTTCTCCTGGACAGAAAAGTGCTAGAGAGCACCTGGCTCACGTGTTCTTGTTAGCACCATGCGTGGTAGATTTTTCTCCTTGAAAGCAGATCTGGGTTCTACTCAACCCCTTTTTTTTCTTTGGTATTTCTAGTAATGCTTAATGCATATCTTTAAATGGGATTAGTACTGCTAAGTGCTGTCCAGAATAAGATATTTGGTACTTAGCTTTGTAGTCCCCACAGAATCATACCAGTAAATGTGTATTGATGGAATGATTTAGCAAAAGAATGAATGAATGAATGAATCCATGAATAAGCCAATACAAATGGAAACAGATGAGAGGTGAGATCAATCCCAGTGCCGACTTCCTGCCACCACAGGTCTGAGTCGACAAACTGGCCTTCTAGTCTCTGCCTCAGGTTCTTGTCTATCAGTGCGAGGCAGAGAATAGAGCCTGAGTGAGCTTCCTTGGCCAAAGGGCGCATGAGCGGGACAAACAGCTGTTCCAGGCCCGGGGCTGGTGATGAGAAACAGACACGGAGTCTCCTCTCCTTTTCCTGCCTCTGTTCCATCGGGAGCTGCCCTGTTCCCCGAGGGCCTGCCATGGAGCAGTGCTGGCTTATGTTCTCTGCCATGTGCCTCATTTAACACTCACCTCAGCTCCATGCCCCAGAGACCCCCCTTCCTCATGTTCCAGCCAGCCCAGTGACGTTCCAAGGAGCTTAAGCAACAAGCCAGGGGCCAATGACTCCAAACCCAGCACCCAGCTCCAAAACAGTGCTTCCAACTGGCCAAGGAGATGAAACCCTTTTCTTCCCCTCACCTTCCCCTCTGTCTCCTGCCCCCTCCTTTTCTTCTCCTCCCCTGTCAAGAGGTCTCCCTTTCTCTTGCCTTCAATCTGCTGTCTTTCTCCCCTGCAGACACTTGGGAGGAGAGGAGGATGGGTGAGGGGTACAGGTAGCCCCTAGCTCTGATGTCTCTGCCTTTCTGGGATTTGAGGGAACAGGGGGGTACAGCTTATTCAGCTGGGGAGCAGCTGAAGCCCTCTTTCTACTCCATCAAAAATACACTCTTCTCTAGTAGCAAACCTCCCCTGCCATGCACCTACCAAACACACACACACACACACACACACACACACACACAGCATCCCTCCCCCTCCCAGACTGTGGGAGGATGAAGGCTGTAGACAGGGTGGTGGTGAGGGTGAGCCGGGTCCTTCCTCTCCCCCATAGGGCTGTGTAGGGGATGCTGGATGGGCTCAGTCCTAGCATAGAGGTCCCCACACCACCCTTCCCTGTGTGACATGTTCCCTCAGATTGCCGAAGGAATGGCGTATATTGAGAAAATGAATTCAATCCACCGAGACCTCAGGGCAGCCAACATCCTGGTGTCTGAGACTTTGGGCTGCAAAATCGGTGACTTTGGCTTGGCCCGGATCATCGACAATGAATACACTGCCCAAGAGGGTGAGCAAAGACTCCCAATCCAGGGAGAACTTGTGCCCTACCTTCCCCAACCGCCAAACCCCCTTGCACTTGTTCTTGTCACCACGGGGCAGAGCCCTGTGCCTGAAGGTCAGAGCGCTGCGGTGTTTCCGTAATTCCGGCCTTACCCTTGGGCAGATCAGCATTTCCCTAACTGTGCTCAGCAGACGCTAGTGCCCCCTGAGGAATGCTGGTGAGGAGGTGGGTTTGGAGATGCTGCAGACTCCACCCACGCCCCCTGGGTGGTTTCCCACACACACCATCATCTTTTCAACTTGCCCATGAACTTCCCAGGAACTAGGGTTCCGAAGGACACACTGTAGGAAACATGGCTCTGAAGCGTGAGCAACAGAACCTTGGACCTGAACTAGGTTTCCGCAGAGCCCTTGGGCTTACTCTGTCGTTGTAACTGAAGTAAAGATCCTCTTTGCAAGAGGAATCGAAGTGGTCAACACATTTATCAAGCGAGCTGGCAAGCCATCTCAGCTGAGCATATTAATCAGTGGATGCAGAGAGGGATCTATATGGCTGGTCCTGGGAGGGAACTGCAGGCCCGCTGGGGGGCCAGGAAAGCCAGGCGAGGTGGGAGCGAATCAGGTGGCAGCAAATCAGGTGCCGAGTGGCGCCATCGGCTCTGAGTGCTGACTGGCCTGCAGCTGGGCCTCGTGGGGCAGCAGGTTTTGAGTTCCCTCCTCACAGTGACCCTCAGAAGCACCAAAGCCACGTGTCATCATTTCCATTTGGCAGGAAAGGATTAACTGAGGCAGGCACAAGTTCAGGTGACTTGCCCACGACCATGAGTCCCTGTTCTCAGCAAGGCCAGGTCCGGTGGAAAGGGCCACCTCTGTCCAGATGTCTGCACACACGCCGGGTCCTGTGGCCTAGCGGCTGTCCGTGACTTCCTGGACGAATCCGTCATGCAGGGCAGGCCAAGCCCTGAAAAGGGTGGTGGGGTGAGGGGAGCAGGAAGCAGGGGGTGGGCATGGGCACGGGGGCAGTCAGTCATGGCCTCATGGAGCCAACCATGATTTTTCCCGCAGGGGCCAAGTTCCCCATCAAGTGGACCGCCCCAGAGGCCATCCATTTTGGGGTGTTCACCATCAAAGCGGACGTCTGGTCGTTTGGCATCCTCCTGATGGAAATCGTCACTTATGGGCGGGTGCCCTACCCAGGTACCCAGTTTCGTCCTACAGTGACGCTTGGGTTCCCTGCTGCCCTGGGATGGCCATGATGGCAGACATCCCACCCTGGTGCCCAGGGGCTTCCCAGAGATGTGTCCGAGTGAAGTCTGGATGGTGGGGATGGAAACCCAGGCACACCAGTCTGCGGGCAGAGTTCTCCCCCTTCCTCAACATAGCTCTCGTCAACAGGGCCTTGCTCCCTTCCTCCAGCAGGGGTCAATCAGCCCCCAGACCTGGAATTACCTGAAGGTCAGGGTCTGAATTCGTTTACTCCCCATTGGTCTGTCCTCAGTTCAGACCAGGCTGTCCCTCCCTTGGCCTTACACCTTGGGTGTACTCCCCAAAGCCTCACCTTGACTGTAAACCTCCAGCCCCCGGCCCCACTTAGAAGGCCCTGGGCAGCTGAGTAGTCTCTCCTAGTGGGGGGGTGCATTTTTCTGGAGCACCTTCCAGTGAGGGGTGGGTTCAGGCTGTGTGCCAGGCAAGCCCAGGTAAGATAGATGGGGTCCCGCCCATGAAGGAATTGCTGGCACTAAGGAGGAAATCTACAGCCTCGTGTCCGGAGGTTCTCCAGGAAACGAAAAGTAAGCAAAGGTGTGTGTAGAGGTGGTTCCAGGCCGGCAGCCAGGTCACCTCTGAGGAGGGAGATGGTGGTCAGCGCCTCACTGGCCCCCTGCGGCCCCTCAGCCTCGCTCTGCGTGCCCCTGCCTCCAGGAATGAGCAACCCCGAGGTCATCCGCAACCTGGAGCGGGGCTACCGCATGCCGCGCCCGGACTGCTGTCCCCCGGAGCTGTACCACGACGTCATCGCCGAGTGCTGGCGGAGCCGGCCCGAAGAGCGGCCCACCTTCGAGTTCCTGCAGTCGGTGCTCGAGGACTTCCACACGGCCACCGAGCAGCAGTACGAGCTGCAGCCCTAGCCCGGCGCCGGAACGCGTCAGCGCCGCGGGGCTCCCGGGCCCAGCATCGCAGCTCCGGAATGCTGTGCACCTGGGGCCCGACCTGCAAAACCGACGAGGCCTGTTCATGTCGCAGCTCTAATTCCAGCAGGGTACAGGCTGGAAAGGCTGGGAGGGATGGTACGCCCTTTATTTCGATGAGGAAACTGGAGACAGCCTGGTGGTTGGTCCAGAGCGCGGGTTCCCAGCGGGATCCAATTGCGGTCCCACTCCTCTCTGGCTTGTGTCCTTGGGCAAGTTACTTGGCCTCTCGGACCCTCGGCTTCCTCCTTTGTACAACAGGAGAAGTGATAGTACCTACCTCCTCATAGCACACAAGATCTTCAGTGTTTGTCATATGAGGCTCCCCTGTGCTGGCACAGGTGGCCGGGAGTGCCTTGCTCCCACCTGCGTGCACCGCCTGCCACCTGAGGCTCCCCTTCACCCACCCCAGAAGCAGAACCGGGTCCTCCCACAAGTTGGCTTGGAAAAGCATCCACCCGCTTGGGCTCTGGGAGGGGGGATCCTTGATGTAGACTGAGCTCCAGGACTTTGGGATTTTTCTGTAATAAAGTCACGAGCTCTGACTTCTCCGTGTCGTTACTGGTGACAGACCTGATCACTGCACCCATGACGTGCATGGACGCGTGAGTGGCTCCGCTAGGGACTCGAGAATGACAGTGGGTTTCCGGTGGAGACCAAGTACCCAGATCTAGAACACCTGCGTAGACCAACAGTCACTGCCTCTGAGCAGAGCCGGCAGGTGGCGCCCTAACCTCACAAATCCGCGGCCTCCAGACCAGAGTCCCGGGATCCGCGGTTCAGCAGGAGCCGGACTGACTCCGGGCGCCGCCGAGCTTGCTGGAGATTCCGCCACACGCACAACGAACAAGCGCTGTGGACTCCGAGTCCCAGACACACCCGGCGCGTGAACAGTGAGCAGATGGCGATGGAATGCTAATTCCAAGGAACATTCAAGGCTCCGCGCTGCTCACGGAGGCTCCGCATTTGTCGTGGTGTTTGTTTGTTTGTTTGTTTGTTTATCTTTTACGAATAGCCCTCAAGAAAAATATATATTTTCTTGAGCAGTTGCAGAACAATAAGCAGAAAGTACAGGGAAACCCGTTTACCCTTCGCCCCTGCCTCCTCATTCCCCCTATTACTAACATCTTGAAAAAGTATGGTACATTCGTTACAAATGATTAGCCAATTCTAACAGATCATTGTTGACTAAATTCACAGCTTCCATGAAGACTCACTCTGTGTGTTGTGTGTACTCTCCCATGGGTTTGGACTAGTGCGTAATGACATGTCGTCACCGTCACACGGTCACACAGAATAGTCTCAGTGCCCTCCAGGTCCCTTGGGCTCAACCTATTCACCCCACCCCCACCCCCTCTGGGCCTATGACCACCAACCTGCCACGTAGAGACTCCTCTGGTCCTGTGACAACCCAAGGAGGTCATGTCTATTGCCATCCCATGAACAGAGGCAGAAACTGAGGCACAAAGCGCTTACCTGATGTTCCCAAGGTCACGCCACTCATTAGTGGCAGCAGAGTAGGTGGCGGTGCTGGGCTGGGAGAACCTCACTAGAGAGGTCACCTCTGCATAGGAACAGAGGCGACTGAGCAAAGAGCAACACGTGCCTCTAGGGTGCTGGCTAGTTTTAGACTCTGTTCCCACAGTCGCAGCCTCCCTGAGAAAGAGAGAGGGAGGGGTCACCATTATTATGAAGCCTCTACTCTTTTCCTTAAATGAGGAAACTGGCAGAGACTCCACACCACCGGTGTGGCCCAAAGGCTGGACCATGGACTTGAACCTGTTCTTTGACTTCAGCCGCTCCGTAAGTGCTGTGTAGAGAGCACAGCATTCGCAAAGTCGAGGGGTCTGCAAAGGTGGGTGGGGAAGGCTCCCCGAGCAGTTCCCAAGTGGATCCTGGGGGTGGGCTGGGGGGTGTGGTCCCACTGGGCCTTGGACAGATCTCCCCCAGGATGCCCAGGATGCTGGCGGTAGGGGGCCCTGGAGGGCTCTGGCAAATTGCCTTAGACCTGCCCCTAGAACTGAGAGCTTTGGGGGGAGGTGGCTGTTAAGTCTCCCAGAAAAAAATAACTTCACTCAGCCTCCCCCAACCCCCAGGGGCTTAGCACCCACATTCTGTCTCCCTAGAATCTCTAGGAATTGGAGCTGCCTGGCCTGGAACCCGGGGCCAGGGGGTGTGGCTGGTGCAAGCTAAGCTGGAATGCAGGACACCACGGAGCCCGCTGAACCTATAGCGGGTGGGTGCATCGGACAGACACGAATCTGAGTAGGGGTGCTCAGGGATGAGAAGGGCCCTGAGAGGACCAATGGGTGCCTTCGGAGGTGGGACTTGGAAAGGACCTATCTGTAAGGTGTGGAATGAGTCCCTCTTCTCGGTTTTGCAGCCCACACCTCAGGCCTGAGCACCACCTCCCAGCCTCCCGAGGCCTCTCTGAAGTGGGCCCTGGCTGTCCAGGAGCTGGAAGGCCTGGGGCTGGCTTGCCACCTCTCCGGACCCCACCACCTTCCCGTGAAGGTGCAGGGAGTCACCCAGTGCTTGGCCACCCTCACTGTTCATGGAGCTCAGGTCAGCTGTTTTAAAACACAGGTGACTAGACCTCTCAGTCTGAGATGCTGATCCTGCAGGTCTAAGGCAGGATCTGGAAGCTTCATCATTGCTAAGCACCCTACGTGATTCCAGGTGTATACCCTTGGTTCTCAATCCCGGATGCACGTAGAATCACTGTGGGGTGGAAGTGGAGTGGGGCAGGGGGGTGGGGGGAGGGTAGTGGGGGGGGCGCACATTAAAAACACCGGAGCCAGGATTCCAAGTGGGGCCTGGCCATCGGCACACTGTAAATGTCCCCAGCTGGCTCTTGTTCACCAAGGACAGGGAACCACTGAGCTGGTTGTGTGGGGCTTGGGAGCGCCAAGCAGGGCTGGCTACAAGTAACCGGGGACCTGTCTGACTCCTGGGATTGCAAGACCAGCTCATCCCTGTGGCTCTTTCCCCTTCTGGTAGACAAGTGACAGCCTGCAGAAACTGGAAAGGAAATCTGGCGTGTTCTTGATGACACGTTGTCAGGCAAGGCAGGTGCACCTTCTCCACCTCCTGCTCCCCACTCCCCCAGGTGTTTTCCCAGGGAAGGTGAGGCTGGAGCTTGGAGGGCCAGCGAGACGTTTCCCCACTAGGAGACGCCCTTGCCTCAGCAGTGGTCAGAACTGAGCCGGGTGTTTTTTGTTAGGTGTGTAAGTGACTTGATAAAGGACAAGAAGCCTTCCAATTCCCAGCCAGAGAATAAAGTGTGAGAGGGTGTGGAGAGTTAGAGAGAGACAGCAAAGCAAAGAGAGACAGACAGATAAAGACAAAAAGAGGCAGAGAGAGAAAAAAAACAGAGACTGAACATGAATGGGGGCCGGGGGGAACAGCAACACTTCCTGCTCTGAGAACACGTGTTAGGAGAGGGAGGGGAGGGGAGCCGTGGTGGAGGCCGTGTTCTCCCCACCGTAATCTGCACGCGTGAGGGCACTGGAAGGGGCCCAGGCCCGAGACGTCTGGAGCATGGGATTGCTGCCACTCACCCAGAGCTCCTCTCAGGAGTGGGCCCCGACCTTGGACTCCAGACACCTTCTTGCCTGCGAGGGAGATTTGCTTTCTCCCCAAACCAGCACACACGCCCTTGCATTTATTGAAAAATGATTAATAGCAAGATCTTTGGAGTCAGAGAGACCCCGATGCACTTTCCCAGGATCTATGACCGTGGGCACTTTGCTTGACTTCTCTGGGGCTCAGTTTCTTCATCTGAAAAATGGGAATTCTAATAATACATATACTATAGGCTGAGTTTGAGACTTAGGTGAGATAATACCCGTGAGACATTTACACAGTGCCCGTCTTATGGGAAATACTCAGAAATGTTAGCTCTTATTATTTTATTGTAGCCCCTTAAAGGAAGGCCTTCCAAGGCCTTACTCCACAACCTCCATCACCCTTTCCTGGTTTCCTGTCCTCTGTGATTTGTTGTTTGTCCCTCTGATTTTTCTTTGCCTACGTTCACACTCCTCACACCTTCGGGGTAGAGCTGGAAAATAGGTGCTCGGGGTTTGAAGCCCAGGCCCCAGGTTCGCCCCGCACCTCTCAGCCGTGTGACCTTGGGGGAGTGACTCAAGTCCCCGGAGCCCTCATTTTCTCGGCTACGAACAGGGAGAACAAGGACTTTTAAGGATTTAAAGAGGACTCTGAAAGTGGAAGTGTCTACGAGGCTGCCGTGAAAGATACCACGGACTGGGCGGCTTCAACCACAGACACGGATTTCCTCACGGTTCTGGAGGCTGCAAGTTCGAGGTTGAGGGGTCAGCAGGGGCCTCCCCCATGTCCTCACCTGGCCTCCCCTCTGCGGGTGCCTGGCCCCTGATCTCCTCTTCTGGTAAAGACACTGGTCAGAGGGGTTCAGGCCATCAGACGACCCTGTTTAATTTAATCACCCGTAGACTCTCTCTCCAAATGGTCATGTCCTGGGTCATGTCCTGAGGTTCTGGGAGTTCAAACCTTGGCGTAGGAATTTGCGGGATGCAACTCAGCCCCATAACAAATGGTAATACATAAACGTGATCATTGTTTCTCCTTTCATGTTTTCTATTTTCGTAACTATTTTCATATTGTTTTTTACGTGCATTTTATTTTTTCACATCTTCCACTATGCCTTCCTAGTGCTAGGCATGTAGTAGGTGTCAGCGTATTCTGGTGACCGAGTGGCTGCGAAAACAAGAATATTGGGTGTGAATGAACATCCCATCTGCCAATCGGGAAGATCCGAAGCTGAGCTGGAGTGCCAGCGGACCGGCTTTAAGCAAACCTACACATGAAAATCCAGATTTACACGAAAGATAAAGTAGTCCATAATGGTAATTTTTTATTAAAGGTCCCACCACATATTCCTTTAGGTACTTTAAAAGTAGTTCTCAAATTTCCCCAGGCTTTCTATTGTCATTTTTTAAAGCTGTGGTGAAATACACACTGCATACAACTGACCACTTAGACGCTTTTGAAGTGAGCCGTCCAGTCACGTCAGGGGCATCACACTGTCCTGCAGCCACCCACCACCTCCCATCGCCAGAACTCTCCCAAACTGAGACTCGGTGCCCGTTCAGCACCCGCCCCCGCTGCTCCTCCCAGCCCCCCGCAGCCCCCACTCTCCTTTCTGTCTCTGTGAATGCGACTCCTTTATTTGCCTCGTGTGAGCAGCATCAGGCAGGATTTGTCCTTTCGTGACCGGCGTCCTTCACTCAGCCTAACAGCTTCCATTTTCATCCCTGCTGTGGCACGTGTCAGAATGTCGTCCTTCCTTTTTTAAGACTGAGTAATATTCCGTCGTAAGTATCGCATTTTGTCTCTCCTTTCATCCGTCAGGGTCGCTTGGGCTGCTTCCGCCCTTTGGGTTACTGAGAATGGTGTTGCCAGGAACACGAGTGTGCAAGCATCTCTTAGAGACCCACGGCTGGATCATAGAACCACGGCTGGTGGTTCTACGTTTAATTACTGAGGAGCCTCCACACCGCTGTCCACG